CTTTGGAACTCATCACATAATAGTATCTAAATTTGTGTTTTTAAAAGTCAGCATTTATGCACATAGGTAAATGTGTATTGTATGACTTGCTGGCTGCTTTTCCTAAGCTAGCTGCAGTTTCTAGTTATTTAAAAGTGATACCTGGGCTTAATTCTCACTTTAAAAAGCTGTTGTTTGATTTGCAGGTACTCCCCAGAGCAGCTGGCAGGACAGAGAATCAGTGTGTTCTCCTATGGCTCTGGTTTTGCTGCTACCCTGTATTCCATCAGGGTGACACAGGATGCCACTCCTGGTGAGTGACATGAGGAGGTGTTAACCACCTTCCTTGCACAGCTCACTCTCGGTGCACTATTACACAACCCCCCAGCATCATAAAACCTGCAGAGCAATGCCTAAAGACATCATTGCCAAACTGAGGGTGTTCTAGCTCCAGGGAATGTTTGTGTCTCCTTGAACAAATAATATTCTTCAAACTCCGTTAATGTTTTGATTGGGTAATTGGGAATACTTTTAAATGACTAACAGTTGAGACTCTGTAATGCAAAGTACTTTAAATGGATTTGAAATGTTAACATCCTGCTGTGCAGTTCTCAGCACTGGTGGTGCCTTACAGGATGGTTCTGTATTGCAGGTTCTGCACTGGACAAAATAACTGCCAGCCTTTCTGATCTCAAAGCAAGACTTGACTCAAGAAAGTGTATTGCACCTGATGTCTTTGCTGAAAACATGAAGATCAGACAGGAAACACACCATTTGGGTAAGAACTTCATAAATATAAATCATTCCTAGTCCTACAGCAAAATGCTCATCACTTATTTCAGCTGACTTTAAATTATTAGAGTGTAGAATGAAGGAAATGTCCAACCCTTTCTGCTTCTGAGTAGCTTGTCTTCACTGGCCCTATGTGGCTGAACTAAAATCCAGAATTGTTTTTTTTCTATCTTAGTGCATTCAAACTGAAAAGGCCTGTGTTGAGTAAAACTCTCACCAGGAAACAACTAACAGTCTGTTATTCCCTTTTGTACAGCCAACTATATTCCACAGTGCTCAGTAGAGGATCTCTTTGAAGGAACCTGGTACCTTGTGCGCGTGGATGAAAAACACAGGAGAACTTACGCCCGGCGCCCACTCCTGAGGGATGGACCTCTGGAGGCAAGAGTTGGAGTTGTGCACCCAGGCATTGTTCATGAGGTGAACACTCAGCACTCTTTCAAAGTTTGATGTAAATGGTGGAACCATTTACATGTCTGTCTTAGCATGTGCATGTATGTTAAGAGGAAGTGGTTTAACGAGTTATATTAAATACTTTGTTAACGTGCCTAACATACAAGCCAGAAGTAAAGAGTTGAACATGGGATTTTAAGAAAGTACATTTCATCATAAAGAGAATGAAACTGCACAAGAACGAAACAAGAACAAAACTGGCTCCTCTCGCACAATCTGTTTGCATGAAGCATGACCAATTTGACTGACTTTAGGCCAAGCCGTCCAGTGTAGCATGAATGTTGTTTGAGAGTTGGACTAGCCATGAAGTATGAATGTATGTGAACTGGAAATCTGTATTTAATGTTTTTTTTCCCTTCTTCTTAGCACATCCCAAGCCCTGCTAAGAAAGTGCCAAGAATCCCTGCAACAACAGAAACCGAAGGCGTTACTGTTGCCCTTTCCAATGGGGAGCATTAAGATACCTCTGTGAGGTGGGGAAAGAAACAAGGTGTGAGGGTAGGGTGAGAGAGAGAGAAAAAGGATTGCAGTAGTGCTGAAGTTTCGGTGTACACTAGTACTTCATTGGAGCATGAAAAACCTGTTTAAGCTCCTTGAAAAAAAATCATCATAATACGGTGTGCTGATTTTAAAGTATTTTCAGAACACTAAAATAAGGAGTATATTGGAGATAGAGGGACTTGCTAGGTCCTCTGTGGATTCCTTAACATGTCTGAATTTTTTTAATTGCTGAGAAGTAGCTGTAGTCTATTACAAGGTCTTTGTACATAGGAAAAAAAAAAAAATCTTCTGCCTGCTATTTCCATGTAAAATGACTTGAAACCTACACTGTTTAACTTCTATCAGTACTCAAGTTTGTGCAAACTAGTCCATGCTTTTAATGTTAGGGTTCTCAGTGCCTTGACAATAAGCAGTCAGTCTTCTGAATACTGCAATTCTCTTTCACTTTATCACCTTCCCTTTCTTCTCCCAGTCTGCCTCCCATCACCTCATCGCTTTGGGAAAGGTATAGAACCAAGTAACATCCATTGTTGGAATGGAATCTCTCTTCCCTTCAAAATTACTGGATCAAGAATAGCTAGGCTGACAAGTGGTTTTCTTGGAAGAAACTCTGTTATCCATTGGGCTAGTTACTATGTAATTTCTCCTAATATCCATATTATGTGTTTTATACCTGCATTGCAAGTCACAGCAGCCTGGGAGGAAAGAGGAAAAAGAAGGGAGGTGGTAAATTTTTTCTTCTAAAGAAATGGGATCGTTGATTTGGCACCTTTCTGGATGTTAAGTAGAAGTATCCAAGGCAGCAGAATTTTCAAAAAAAACCTTCTAGACATTATGGAGCTGTTGTAATTGGCAAACAAAGGAAGAGAGTCATCTTCATCAGTTTGTCCAGAACTCTGGCCTCTCACTAGTCTTTATATAGTACATTTCCAAAAGACTATTTCTAACTTTGAATTTGGCTTTGTACCTTGAAGTCCTTCTCACTACTGTTAATACTGTAGACTAGCCTCTTTTATTTCTTTTGTTTTAGTTTGTTTTTTTTTTTTCCAACAAGGTATCCATTTTGCCAGTGGTAGATTTATAGTGGTAATGGGGAGCCCATTCTGGTAGATTTTTAAAGCCCAGATTGGAAATGAACTACGACATGAGCCTTTTAAGCCTGTAATATATATATCTATCTATCTATATCTATATATATAGATATATATATTTAAATTGAGCTAATGTACAGATTAAGTTTTGTTGAGTTTATTTCTTTGCTAATTCTACAAAGCCACATTATCTAATATAAAGTAGCAAAAAATTATTTCTCTGTTAATCACAATTTTTTTGTGTGTGTAATGAAGTGTTTGTATTACCTGTCACTCACTAGGACTTGATAACTTGCTGTATTTGTGCGGTCAAGCCTTGATAAAATAGTTGTTTAATATAAATTGATGAATACTAATCTGTTTGTTCTGCTAAAAATGATGGAGCAATGATGCATGATGATAGTGTTTGCAAGTATTTTGGTTTAGATTGCCCTCGTGAAACTTATCTTGGCACCAGGAAAACAGTCATGGAACAAAGTCCATTGCTGGCAGTGGACGAACCAAGAAGTGAGCTACTGGCAGAGACCTCCCAGGTCTGTGAGGCTGATCCTTTATTAAAATAAAGTTTGAGATATTTGAAACCTGTTGGAGTAGTGCTGACTTGTTGGGTTTTCAGGACGTTTTATTTTCAACAGGAAAGAAGGAGGAAACTGGCTCTGTGAAAACCTGAAGTTGTGGGTTCACAGGCTGTGTGGATATTCTGGATCTGTCTTCTTTGTGTCATTCCCAACAAAACGAAGGGGTTACTTAGGCTGGTGTAAAACCACTCCATCAAGGCTATGTCTCAAGATAACTTAAAATGCTTTCATATGGAAACTGTTTATAGCAGAGGAATTTAATCTTTATTACTGTCTTACAGAAGATGGTATTGTTTTATCCCCCTCAGAAAATCTGCGAAGGTGGCTTGGTTCTTGCTTTGTACATACCTGAGCCTCACTGAGTCCAGTTTCCCAGGAGTGGCTTTTCAGACTCATTCTGTTGCTCATTTAAATTAATTACTCCTTCCAAAGTCAACTAATCGTCCCATCAGCCCTCATAATAGATAAGGCATCCTGCCTTTAACATTTGAAAGCACCAGCTCTACCTATGTAAACCTTCTGTCAGGTATCTTACCTTAACTAAAGTCATACGGGCTCTATGTCTTAGCTTAAGCAGGTCTTTAGGTTAAGCAGATCGGCTGTCCCTGTTCAGGGAAGAAAGCTACCGTTCTTGTCTTTTGCATTGGAGCTGATGCTGTTGAAGGTGAAAGTATAAAATCAGCAATTAAAGCTGAAAATTTGAGCATCTACATCTTGGTGATGCTCAGAACAACTGTTGGTGTCAGCCTATCCAACTTTAACTTGCAGTGGCCAAGTGTCAAAATCATCTTTGTTCCAGCTTTGGTTGCCAAAGCAGCGTGGCAGGAGTGAGTGCAAGCCTGCAATGCTCAGCAGATACAAATGGATTTTGCTACTGGTTGCGTTCAGCTACTGGTAACAAGTGCTACAGCAAGAATTTAAAACTACATGAGTTTTGGAGTACACTTAAATCTTTCTTTATTGAAGTGCAATGAGTCCAAGCAGTTCCCAACTGACAGAATCATGCAAGTAGTGGAAGGTGTCAGAAGGTTAGCTGATAGTAGTCCAACCAGTCAGGCATTAGGAATTGCAACCACATATGCACTGTATCTTAATTTGTCTTTCGGAATCATGACAAACAGAACTGCAGTCAACAGCAGCATTGCTGTTTCTTAAAAGAAAATGCTTTTTAAAAACTATTTTGATGAGGAAGTTCAAAGGAAGAATTTGCAATTGTTTAGATTATGGTCAGGTCTGTCCTGGTTTGCAGTGGTAAAGTTATATCGAGCTGACATACAGCTTTTCAGAAGTCAGCTGTTACATGCCTGTACCAGGAATCTCCAAGTGGGTTAAATGCAGTGGTATGACCTTTACTAAACGATCATCTCCACTCATGATCCTTTCAATTACTGGGGTTCTTGCACTGGCTATACATGTTTCTGGAGCAAGGGTCAAACAAATGCACGAGAGCTCGGTGTTTGAGCGCTTCACTGTGACTTGAGAAATGCAAAGAAGAGGAGGCATTTTTGGTTTATTCAAATTACAAATAAAAAAATGTAACACCAGAATTTAGGAAAAATCAATAATCCCCTTTGAAAAGTGAATAATCCCCTCTGTCAAATGTGCTGAGTATAAAGTCCGCAGTGCCAATTTATAAAATAGAACACAGCTTGGATGTGTGCTTAATCCCACTGTAAGAATGGATTGCTTTCCTCAAGTCTTGTTCTGTGGGATCTGGGTGGGACATGATAGGAACAGATTCAAGTGCCCTTTTCTTCTGTACTCTGTGCAGCACAATCCTGTAGACCCCTGTTATTGAGCTGCGTGCATCTCTTCCCCGGTTATTTTGAATGTGCTGCTCTGTGATTCCCAGATCTTCCAGAATATTTTTCACTTCAATTTCTTCTTCTTTGAGCATACTGATGTCTGATAAATACTTAGGATCCAGTTTAAATGTCTGTAAAGGTTTGGGAAACTGTATGCCTTGCATCCATTCGCTGTTCATAATCAGTTTGACAGAGTATCGCTTGGTTGGTATGGGCTGAAGGACTCCTTTTATCAGTTTCTGGCAATTTTCTGAGAGGCAGGGAGGCAAGGTGTATGTCCCTTCAAGAATGCACTTCTTCAGTTTGCCTACAGTATCTGCCCGAAATGGCATGCTACCCGTCATCATGAAGTACAGTAGGATTCCTAGTGCCCAGATGTCCACATAGATGCCTATATAGTTTTCATCTCGGAAGAGTTCAGGAGCAGCATAAGGAGGAGAGCCACAGAAAGTTTTTAAAGTTTCATCTCTTTTACTTATTGTGCTGAATCCAAAGTCTCCCACCTTAACACAGGTGTTACTGGCGTAGAAGACGTTTTCTGCTTTCAGGTCCCGGTGAATTATATTATTGTCATGCTGTAGGACAAGAGGAGAAGTTGGTATTGGTTTGTTCTCAATGGCTACCCCTAACTGATTAGTTACCTCACAGGAGAAGGGGAGTTATCTTGGGCAAAGTCAGAAACTAGTATTGCAACAAAATTGAAAAAGCATTAAACAAATATAACCTAATTCTCTAATGATACAAAACCAACTGAGTAGGGGGAAAAGAAGGATGCTGGGATTTTTTTAAGAACAGCAGTCCCAACTATACTAAGTATTTTTGTGAAGCAAATTTGTGAGGGCAGAATGGCTAATCCTACAAGACTAGATAGATACCTTCATGTGCAAAATCAGTATTTTTTCAGGGTTCATGACACTTGGTTTTGCAGTTACTACATGTAACAGCTTGTGGAAATAAGTGCTTATTTAGTTCACTGAGTGAACATAATCACAGATAGAGTAAGAAAGTTACTACAATCGTGTTGTGTGATCTAATGTCCTATGAGGAGCTGGTGGTGGCAGGAGAAAAGGACCACAGACTTGGGCTTCATGGTATTTCATGTTGCAGGATACCAAGTTTAGTGGTGTCTTCTAGTTTTAAAAAGCTAAAATAAATACATTCACTGTAACTTCTACTTTTTTCCCTTGGAAATGGTAGTAGTATCTAAGGACTCAAACTGAATTTGTTCTGCTTAGTCACAACATACCCATCTTGATTAGGTAAGGGTTTAGCGTCATTTTTGAACTAACAAGAAGGAATGGATGTGTTTGAGCACACTCTGCCCTACCCTCTAGAGTAACAAGGTGCAGTATCTGGAGGCAATAAGGAAACCATTTGACATCCTATTTCAACTGAAGTCAATAACGGGCAGGGATTCTATGTTCTTGTTGTGGACTGGCAGCAGTCAGATGGGATTTATACAGTCTGGATGTGATGTCTTAACAAAAGTAAAATGTTGTGCAGAAGTCTGTGTGTACAAGTGAAGAGGTTGGCCAGCTCAGTAATCTGGGTTTAATTCTAAGAAATAGGTGTAGTGTAATTTTGAAATGTAAATTAAGTTCCTGTAGCTGCAGGGTATCTGTCCTGTGGAAAAAGTGTTGGAGCTAATCCATCACTTACAGGTCATACAATCATTTTGTCAAAATATATAAAAAATGCATACTGTTTATGTAAGAGAGGAGCAGTGCGTGACCTGGAAACACCCTTGCTCCTGACCTCACCAGAGGCTATTATGTGGCAAGAGAACATGAGCCGCCGGAGGGCACTCTGAGCCAACTTTAACGAATACTACTTTTACTTGTCAAACTTGTAGAAGAGTCCTCCGTGTTTTCATGCTGTTGTTTGAAGTACCTGTAGTTACTATGCAAGGTTCAGAGGACATGGTATTGAAGTAGTTAATTGCTCCTTTCTGCCTTTACAAGGTGCTTTGGGCTCTACACAAATGGCATCATCCCAGGTACAGGTACTGAAGACCAGGCAAGGGGGAAGGGACTTGCTGGGTGTTAACGTCATGCTAAAGTGAGGACCAGGAATGGCCTGTGTTTACGTGACAGACTCCCATGTTCATTAATAAGCAAGGTGGATGTTTGCAAACCTAACAAGCCTCTCTGGAACACTTCGTTCTAGCAGAAGGGTGACTAATCCCATGTTTTGAAATAAGTGGAGGGAAAAAATGAAGCTTTGTTCACTGGTGCCCAGGCACCTTAAAGCAGACAGAACACTGTTGCAAAAGGGATGATTCCACCCACCAGGTGTTCCCACTTCAGTCACCTCCCAAAAGCTACTAACAGAGAGGCAGTAACTCGAGGTAGATGTGCAAGCTCTCTGATATTCTCTTCTCCAGCTGTTTTGCTTTTCAGAAATGTGGGCTTGAAACTTGGGTAACAGTAAATCTACTAGTTGAAAACCAAAAGATACACCTGCAAAATCTGCTAAGACTAGTGAGGGGCAACATGCCTGTGGTAAGAGCAACTTACCATGTGCTTCACAGCAGACACAATCTGGGAGAAGATTATTTTACACTCTGTTTCTAGCAGCTTTCCTTCTGTACTGATTTTAGTGAAGAGCTCCCCACCTGCTGCATACTCCATCACCAGGTGCAGTTTTGAGAGTGTCTCCACCACTTCATACAGCCTGATGATATTTGGGTGGTGCAGCTTCTCCATGCTGGATATCTCATGAGACAGCAAACGCTGAGTCTTCCGGTCTAGCTTTGTCTTGTCTAAAATCTTAATTGCAACTTTCTCTGAAAAGGAAGATATTTTTCCATTATACCATAATTATACCTATTAGTGCAGTAGGTACAAATGGTAATGCTTTTTACGACAATGCTTGGTTGTTTCACACCAGACAGACAAACTTGGGGGGAATTTAGAGGCCCTGGCTATAAGCCTGAAGGTTTATAATGGAGAGATTTTGAAGTAGATGCAACTTACAGAACTCTTCCCTAACTACTTCTCTCATCCCCCTCCAAATTCTCAGTTAGCAAAATCAGTGTGGTTGAGGTTTGTCAGGATAGCTGTACCACTTTCTCCAATGTGTTCATGTATTAATAGTTCTTGGTACTGTTCAGAATACAGGAAAAGTACATTTTTATGTCTGTATGCCACAGTGGGCCATGAATCCACATCATACACAAGATTTTATTCTGAGGAAGGGAGAAAACAGTGAAGCAGAGTATGCTGCAGGGATCCTGTAAGACAGCAAACCTAGCTGGCATATGCTGTTCTGGTAATGCAAAGCTGCTGTTAAGTCCTAGATGTTTTCTGTAGCATATCTACAGTGAAGGCAAGAGCCACAAAACACAGATATACATCTGCAGCTCCACCACATCATCAGGGTAGCTCAGAGCAGGATGAAGAGGTCAATCACAATTGCCCTTATGTTTCTGTATTAGTTTGTAGGTTATGGCCTTTGTCTTTGCTGTTCTGAATACAGCTGGTATTGAAGGATTAGTCTGGTTAAAACAGGTTTACAGTGGCTTTGTATAATTTGTCAGGACAGCGAAATTAAACTGGATCACAGTAATAAAAACAACTATTTATTCCTGGAAATAAATATCTTACTCAACCAATCACAGATTTCTTAACAATGAATCACTTTTAACCAGTCTTTCAGAAAAAAACTTCACTCTGCTTTCTAGCACATGGGAGTAAATTAGAAAAAAAAAGGGTATTGTTCACTTTTTACTGTAAGAGAAGAGTGAGAAGGGTATTATATTTGTACATGTGTTCTGGTATAAAAGTACTCAAGATGTTTTTACTTAATGACATAAAGGAAGTGTTAAGGTACTTAATACCTATTAATATTAAGTATTAAGATACTTAATATCTAAAGGAAGTGTTAAGGATACTTATGCATATATTTTACAGATCAAGAAAACCCCATGTTTGGCACATTTACATTTTTTAGTACCATACATGCATCAATTGATTTCTCTACTGAAGTGCAGCAAGTACTTGAAGCAAATATGATTCTTGTGGAAGGTACTGAATTACCCTTGATGTGCCTGTTTTCAGGAGTCTGTGCTAAGTACAGGGCAGTTTCCCCATGCTGCTTCTCTCTGACCTGTTTCATGCTTTCTAAGGAGCTCCTTGGGTAGGCAGGTACCTGCTCCTGTGTGGTGAATTGGGAGGAAATGCAGCTACTGACACTCATCCTGGCAGTGCTCTGACTGCTGACCTATCAGTGACAGACTAAAATCCTTGTCATGTTCCTAGCATACTGATCTCTTAAACCACAAGGAATGAGCATCAGCTTGCAATAGGCTACATTCACTCAGCTAAATGGTTAGATACTACAGGCAGAACAATTCTCACAATCTTAACCATTCAATTTCATCATTACATCTTGATTTATAAAAGTTGGGGTCATTCGGGCTTTAAAAAAGAAATCTTCTCCCCTTTCCTTTTGCTGGAAACTACTGTTTCTCCTTGTCAGTTTTCCTGCAACGTTTTAAAAAGAAATAGGGGGAAAAAGAAGAATGTTTACAACTAAAGGCCTGATCCTGTTCAAACACCACCATAAATCAGGACCAAGCTCCTTTAAGTCTACGTAATTGCAGTTGCAAATGCATGACATTCGAAGAAACCCAGCCCACCCAGAGGGTAAGAAACCTGACACCTTCCTTTTCTTTTGTAAACTAGTCCTCTCTGCTTCCAAAAAATTATTTGTTTGCAAATCCTCTATTACCCTTGCTTGGCAGCAGAGCTAAACAGAAGGGCAGTTTTAGCAGGCAGCTTATTTACCAAAAGACTGAGTTGAAAGATGTTTGATTGACTATACACAGTGTATGCTGAGGTTTGAAAAGTGCTAGCTGAAATCTTAGTAAGAAAAATCAGGAAAAGGTTGAGAAATAATTTCAGAAGGAAGTGGTATTCGCTGTGATGGCAAAAAAACAAACAAAATACAAACAAAACCAGGTTAAAATTGCTTAAAAAAAAAAGGCAAACTAGGTGCCTGGAAATCTGTGCTTTTCCAATTCATGTTTCACATTACACTGACTTTTTATTAGTTGTACATTTTGGATGCTCTTAATTGCGTCTATTCAGGTGTGCTCTCACACTACTTTTGTCAGTTGGAAAGCATGTAAAATAAAGGTTACACAGAGCTTAGGAATGTAACGGTCCTTAGCAAGAAGTTTCACAGGTTTCTGGAAAAAATCTCTGCCAAAATTCAGGTTAATATAGTGGATAATGCTCCTGAATATCACAAGACACATAGAATCATAAAATCAGAAAGTACCTCTAAAATCATCACATCCAACTGTTAACCCAGCACTGCCAAATTCACCACTAAACCATGTCCCCAAGTGCCACAACTACATGTCTTTTAAAATATCTCCAGGGATGGTGACTTCCCACTTCACTGGGGAGCATGTCCCAGTGCTTGACCACCCTTTCAGTGAGGAAATTTTTCCTAATGTCCGATCTAAACCTTTCCTGGCACAACTTGAGGCCACTTCCTCTTGTCTTATTGCTTATTACCTGGGAGAAAAGAATGACCCTCACTTGGCTACAATCTCCTTTCAGGTTTTTGTAGAGAACAAGATGGTCTCTCCTGAGCCTCCTTTTCTTCATACTAAGCACCTCCAGCTCCCTCAGCCACTCCTCATCAGACTTGTGCTCCAGACCTGTCACCAGCTCTGTTGCCCTTCTCTGGACTCACTCCAGTCCCTCAATGTCCTTCTTGCAGTGAGGGGCCCAGAACTGGACACAGGATTTGTGGTGTGGCCTCGCCAGTGCCCAGTACAGGGGGGACAGTCACTGCCCTGGTCCTGCTGGCCACACTACTGCCAATCCAAGCCAGGATGCCTTTGGTCTTCTTGGCCACCTGGACACACTGCTGGCTCATGCTCAGCCACTGTCAATCAGCACCCCCAGATCATTTTCCACTGAGCCACCTTCCACACACTCTTCCCCCAGCCTCTAGAGCTGCCTGAGGTTGTTGTGACACAAGTGCAGGACCTGGTACTTGGCCTTGCTGATCCTCATACCATTGGCCTCAACCCATCGATCCAGCCTGTCCAGATCCCTCTGCAAAGCCTTCCTGCCCTCCAGCAGATCAACACTCCCAGCCAATTTGCTGTCATCTACAAACTGATTGAGGGTGCCCTCAATCCCCTTGTCCAGATCACTGATTACGATGTTAATCAGGGCTGGTCCCAACACTGAGCCCTGGGGAACTCCACTAGTGATAGCCTCAGCTGGATGTAACTCCATTCACCACCACTCCCTGGGCCCAGCCATCCAGCCAGTTTTTTACCCAGTGAGGAGCACATCTGTCCAAGCCACGTCACAGCACCAAAGATTTTTCTGTATTCTCTAAACAGCCAAGACAGCCCTTATGAGAGAAACAAGGTATGTCATCCAGTAAGATCCTGAAGTTTTTTCCTCTCTCTCTCTAGAAATCATGTGTCCTGCTGTGACAGACCACAAGGACAACAGAAAAGCACACACAGTGTAATTGTTACAAAGGCTCATGGTAGTAAAAGTCAAAACTGTTTCTCTGTTTGATATAGGGTGACATGTATGGAGAGATACCATACTTAACACTATGGTAGTAACTGAGGAGCTGAACAGCCCTGACACTTATACCACCCCCTACCACAGAGATCCAAACAGCATTAATAACGAAGCCTTTGTATTTATATAATCAGCAAAAAAAAAGACTAGTACTCATTAACATTGTGCAGGAACATCATCACCAATACAATGATGTGCATCTACTGCAAAAAACAGAATCCTCTTCGTGGGGGTGGGGAGTGGGTATGGATGCATGCCTCTGTGCACGTCCCTGTTCTTCTGTCTATGTACTGTATTTTATGAGCACAGATAAGCTCACAGGCAGAGACGAGTCAGAAAATGCTTATCTTTTATTCTTCCTTCCTCATGACAGTTGCAAATTTAGTATCAAGAAATCAACTCTTTGCCCAGTGAATATTTTAACCAAAAAAAGCTACAAACAAGCAAAAAAAAAAAAAATTGGAGAGATTTCTGATGAAAAAGAAACTTTTCAAGAAAAAGGAAGAATTTTGGTTTTGGTATTTAGTTTGTCCAAGCTTACTGTATTCACCAAGTTCAAATTTTTTCAATCAATTCTATTCAAATGCTAAAGCAACTTGTTTTTTAAGTAAGTTCAGCAAGTAAAGGGTTCATCCAGATCAAATTTCTAACTGCCTTTCATTAGCGTTCCTGCTGCTCCAGATACAGGAGCAGAATTTCTTCCAGCAGTACGTACAAGACAGTTACCTCTGGAAAAAAAAAAAAATCACAGAAGAGGAAACAACTTGCCATGGGCCAAGTAGAACTGAGTTGCTTTTCTTAAACAAGCAAAATCAAAAACTCCACACCCAGTTCAAGCAACCCTTGGACAGAGGCAGGCTTAAAAGTGAAAAAATAACCATTAGTTCTCCACTTAGATTCCCAGTGCAACAACTCTTGCACACAAGTTCTCACCCTCTGAAGTCTGGGCTGAAAGAGGCAGTCAGAGAAAATAATGGGAGATAATACAGGTTTCGGGGCATATCTTGTTCTCTCACCTACAAGAGGGTGGAAGGAAGGACATTGAAAAAGCAAGCTCTGGTATCGTCAAAGTGGTGTTTGTGTTGAATTGTCAAGTATTTTTCTCGGCTTAAATACAGTAAAGCACCCTATCTTCTATGAAGGACTAGAAGGGTTAGGTAACTGCAGTGGACACTTCAGTCACAGGTATAACTAAGAACTTGTCATCAACTGTCCTATGTCTTCTTCTGCCCCTGTCTGACAATAATAGAAATTGTTCTTGTTTTCCATCAGCGTGACTAGTTTTCTCTGCATCTTTGTACACTTACTATTGTGGCATTTTTCTCAATCTGACTCTCCTTCCAGAGCTTGTTTCCTTGCACCTGCCCAGCCCACAGCTATAGCCCCATTCCAGCTGTCTGCAAATGATTCTGTAAAGCAGGCATAACAGTTGTCACCGAAATTACTGTGACCAAATAAAGTCTTGGTCCATAGTAGTACTATTTGTGATGAAACAGAGGAAGCCTTGCTACGTCTGGCTGCAGGCAGGAGCATGCCCAGCCATGCTGCTGTGGGCATTCACCACCTGTAGCCCTGCAGCCCACGAGATGGGGCAGGGAAGAGGACAGATTGGCAGGACAGGTTGTAGTAGGGGAGGCACAACACATGCTTTAAAGTGTGGAGTGTTTGAACCATGGGATGAGATATGTTAACACCAGGGAGTGCAGTGATGAACTTTTCTTGTAATGGTTGCTATCTAGAGAAAATTTTTCCAACCTTGATCATTTTTCTGTGACACTGCCCACTGATTCACTTAGCAACATTAAAAAGACACACAAACTATATATGTATTTAAGGTTCAGGCAACACCTTTCTTTCCATAGAAGGCCGTTTGTAAGGGCACTCAACGTGCAATGGTGCCTACCTTTAGTTAGGGAATGAATTCCAAGCTTCACTTGTGAGAAATTCCCACTTCCTATTTCTCCTCTGACTCGATAGAAGGCAATTCTCTTTCCCAGGGTTAATTCTTTCACCACTTTTTCATTGTGAGACATATCCTGCATTAGTTTCTCAAATGGGGTCAGCCTGTGCTGCCTGTTCTCTTCATCTCCTCCATAGCACTCCGGGTGCCCATCATCTTCTCCACTATCCTCATGATTCCACCTGGAACAGCGGTGTTTTCCATGACCTCCTTCATTCACATATCCTGTTGTCATAGTCTACAGGGTAATCACTTCCCCATTAACAAGATGTCGCAATAACAAGCTTAAATGAAGTAATTCTGAATGAATATGCAATCCTGCACATAATAGAAACTGTGACAAACGTAGCAAAAAAAAAAAAAAGCTGTTTATGGAAAGTCCAAGGATTAGTTTGAAAATTACTTAAAAAACATATCTGCCCAATCTGCATATTGCATGTCCTGTTCAAAATCAGAGATAAACTGGAAGCCGTATACATCAATTTCTCACTCACAGAGTGAGTTACGTCGGGATCTTCAGCTACAAGGTGAAAGAGGCTTTGCAATTAAAACTGCAAAATTTGTGCAAGAAAGCAGCAAGGTGCTCAGCGTCTATACAGTACATTTGACACATGGAAAATATTTGACACAAATATTCAGGCTTTAGCTTGATGCTTTGAAAACCGACTTGATAGATAAAGGTCAAACAGAAAACTGATTAACTGCTCCTAATAAATTCAGATACCTCCAGTTAATTTTGAATAGCTGACCTTAAGAGCGCAGTTCTACTTGATTCTGGTACCAGTCCAAGAGCTGGCTGTAGGGTTTGCCTTTGATTCATTCTTCAGCTGTGAGCTTGTCACTGTGCCTTGGAAATGTCACTGTGTGTTGAAGCCTTGCTGTAGAAAGTTCGTTGCCCCTCTGTTTCCTTCCCATGGTGGGGTTAATGAAGCACCTAATTCTAGAAGATGACGAAAGGAAAGGCGAAAGCAATGCTGCGCCTTAGTACCCCTGCAGTCACATGGCAGGACAATAAAGGATTAAGTAACTGCAATGTCACGTTAATTCTCCTTTATTTAGATGAGCTTTCTTTAACGCCTTGAGCCTTCTCAAAATTTTGCCAGACATCTCGTGTTCCTAAGCAGACAGATGAAGAAAGTAATTAAAACCTTTACATAACAGCCACATGCTTCACTAAATGACAGCCTCCTGCATACCATTTCATCAGTTTAACTTTGGTAGCACAGACGCGGAAGTCCTTACTCTAAATACACAAGCATGACTTACCTTTAAAGCAGCACACCACTATTTTCTTCTTTACCTTTCTTCTTTAACCTTGGAAAACAGGAGTTGATCAGCAACTGCTAATCATGCAGCCTAAGGGTGATGAGCTGGGCATGAAAGCTCTTAAGAGTGCAGAGCTCACCTCCCCTGCTCTCAGCCTGCAGCACATCTGACTGATGAACACAGGAGACACCTGACTGCCAGGACAGATTCACCAGACTGAGGGGGAGTGAATTAGACCAGTAACTCAATGCCTGGGGCTCAGGTAGACAGTCAGCTAAGGTGCTGCACTAGCAGAGGGCACGTGACATTGCCAGGTGGAGCTGCCCTCCACACCCCCTCCCTCGATCTCCTGTGTGAGCAAGACAAAGAGAGGTCAGAGGTACCACCTCAGGTGTCTGTCACTCTCTCTGCCACTTCTCTGAACCAGGAATGCTTCTTATATTCTTTGTTCTCCCTTTGGGGAAAGGATGATTTCTTGCAGGATTGCCTGAATTCTGACCCATAGTTGTTTTCTGCTTTAACCTGTTTCACATGACAATTGTAAAAATATTTTAGGTAATAAAAAACTCTTTATATGAAACTCAACTGTATTTCACAGTTTTTGTGGTGGACAGCACTCTAGCAGAGCAGGGCTTTTGAAAACCACTCATCTGCTCTATACTGCCACAGCAATGCAGACATTAGAGAGGCAGAACTCTGATCCCATTCTGCTCTGTGAGCTTAAGGAAAACCACAGCTGCACAGGCTGTCCATACAAAAGCCTGGAAAACTCCATGAGCAATGTCAGAAGTCCCATGTACAAACAACAAGCTATTATTTAAATAAGTGTCTTTGGATGGGCGGTGGCATCCGTGTCACCTTACCAAAGAACAGCTGTAATTTATGGCTCTGAGCACTCCAGAATGGCAGGTATGGGTGATCCTGCTTTGCAAAAGGAAAAACACAGAACTACTAATGGTGGGGGGAAAAGCCCACCAAACAAACAAAAAACCCACAGGAGGGTCTGGATAGCTCAGTCATAGAATCATAGAATCATAGAATCAGAGAATCATAGAATCATAGAATCGATTGGGTTGGAAAAGACCTCCGAGATCATCGAGTCCAACCCTTGGTCCAAATCCAGTCCATTTACTAGATCATGGCACTCAGTGCCACGTCCAATCTGCGTTTAAAAATCTCCAGGGATGGTGAATCAACCACCTCTCTGGGCAGCCCATTCCAATGCCTGATGACTCTCTCTGTAAAGAATTTTCTCCTGATTCTTATGAATGCCAGCCTATTCAGCATCAAGTCAAAGTCATCCAGCTAAAGACTATCTTCTGCAAAAATTATAAGGGCCCTTGCAGTTACCTGGCTGTGCAGAAAAGGCTGACTGTATAAGAAGGATTTCCTTCAAACAGACTTGTACAGACAAGCCCCTCCTGAATACATTCGGTTAAGGTAGAGAAGGCAGCTAGCCCATTCCATGAGAATCACGGGGACCAATACACCACATGGGAATGCCAGAACCTTGTGGGGATAGAGGAGTCAAGAGAAAGGCAAAACTGCCTTAAGCCATCAGCGTATAGATGAATTCTTCCTGAATTTGCTCCTGCGGAAATTTCTCCTGGGGCTCAACATGCTCTTTTTTAGAGCATAGCCTACCATCAATCTGCCTTTCAGGCCTGCCACTTAATTGTCAATCCTGTAACCTCCTGGCATCTGGCCAATGGGTGAGGTGTTCCCTGTCTTTTGAGATGAGCTATTTCAGTATTCCTGGTGTTAGAAGAATATATGCCATCTATTTATGGCCTACATTCCTTCCTGTATTCTAAACCAGTAAAATCTATCCTGATATCACACAAAAGGGCACTGGCTGTAAAAGAAATTCTAAGAGAGAAGGGAAAACAAGGAAATCAGAAGTGATCCAAATATAATGAAGGACAATAATTTAATTTTTTTTTTGCCAGTCTGGCTGACTGGTGACCTGAAGAACCTCAGGAGAACTTATCTGCCCAGATAATAACTTTAAAAAACAAAATAAACAATCAAAAGAAAACAAAACCAAAACCAAACCAAACCAAACCAAAACCACTACAAAAAGCAAAATAAGACAGTGAACAAATGTATCAATCCTTTAAGACCTGTGCCAGCCCAACACTGCTGTTGTTTAACCTTGTTTTTCAAACTGACATTCTAGTACTATTTTAACTGCTAAATACCCTCAGGCTTCAGCTGCAGGCTCAGTTTAAACCCTGCATCACAACTCTAAGGAAGTTTGGAATGAAAGTAAAAAGGATCAAACCAAGAGAGAGATCACTGGATATACAGACTTTGGTTCCTAAAATCCCATCTTAACAGATACATGTGACATATAAGTGACTTGGTTTTAAGAAGCTTTGAATGGAGCATATGAAAACACACAAGCAGCTAGACCAAGGCTCCAAGCACTGTGTTTTGCAAACTGGTCTCTTCTATTAAGCCTGTCTTTCAGAGAGGCAAAAAACCACTCAGCTTTGAGTGCTTAAATTGCTGCAGCTCTTGTTATAGTGAATGTGAAAGAAGCCACACTGGAGGGTCTCTGAGGTTACTCCTCAGAGTAACAGGGTTTTTATGAGGATGCCGCTGGATATTGCAACACATTCACCAGAGTTCCCTTTTCAGGCCCTCTGCTGTCTAGCCCAAGGAGATGAAGATTTTGAAGGTATTTCCCTAGGGTAGGGAATTAGCTTAATTTGTGTAAATTCCTTTGAAGAACAGCATGTCTCCTGCTTAGTACATTATATGCACCATAAGCCAACTCCAGAACCAAACTGAATTTAAAGTAGCAGGGATTTTTTTAATGTCATTTGCAGGAAAAATATTGTCTCCTTTTTTTAATCGTAGCTTTGAAAGTACAGTTGTTGCAAGCAAATACCAGCAACCTAGTATACTCCTGTGTATAGAAGACCTATCTTTTATAAAAGACAGAACAGTTCACAATACCTGTACCACAGACCACACATGACACAAAAGCTCTGCTGTGCAGCCAGACACCACAGGGAAAATAATAGCTCCACTTTTCTGCTTTTGCTACAGTAATATTGAGTGCACAGCTGTTGTGGTCAAAGGAAATCAACATTTTTTCAAGGTTTGCCCTGAGCACATTTTTTTGATTTAAGAAGCACTCTCAGTCTTACTTCTGTGAATACCAGAAAACAGAGTGCCTATATAAAACACAACCCTGAGCTTCATAGGAGTTGTTAAAAAAAACCAAACAACTTTTCAAAACACAAAATATAGTACAGTTAGAGGCTGAATGCAGACCTGTATATTCCCAGATCAAGTGGGAGGAAATACTAACAGCAGAGAACCTCCAGAAACAACTTGCTCTCTCTGCCCAGGGCCACATGCCACCCATTTCTGTACATCCCAGAATTACTGCAGTTAGTTGGTATAGCACTCAGTTTGCCCTTGGCCTTACCCATCTAAGAGAAGGATACTCTAATTAAACCTACGTCCTGAGGACCTCGCTGCCACCATCCAAGCTCGCTCGGCCCCGGCAGATGAACCTTAGGATTAAAGGGTGGGCTCAGTTCAGCGCACACTGGGTCTCACCTAAAAAATCCATTGCGCAGGCTTGAAGGCTTTACCCACTTTTGCAAAGCCCTGTATTGACATCTTCTACAAATGCAGTTGTATTAGCCTTTTTAGCCACCAGCGCGCTAAACGTGGGTAGAGACCTTTCCCAAATCTTCGTTCGCGAAGCCCAGCCATGACTCAGTTTGCCAGTTATTGTTTGACAAAAACCAGACATGATGAACATTATTCTTATCAACTTCCTGCTGTGCCTGGGAACACTTTGATAGCAGCCACAGTGATGCCCCTGAGCTGGCAGGTGACCAAGGCATCACTGCTGTTCCTGTGCTGCTGTGCTGGACAGGCTGGAACTCCTGTGGGAACTCGAGCTGAAGGGACTGTGACCTGCAGATGAGTCCATGTGGGAGCAGGTGCATCTCAAAGCATCTGTGGCCGTGGTTATGACTGTGCCACAGCTAGTATGTCTCTAAAGGGATTATGGTGCATTTCAAAGCCACTGTGGCTGTGGGTAAGTCTCTCCCACAGCAGGTAT